CTGCCATGTTGACAGTACAGGGGATTAATGACAATTACTGAGTGTGAATATCAAGTTTCTCACCACAGAATTAGGTGTGTGAAGTAATACAGACGTAAGTTAGCTAGATTTTACTATTACACACATCCATTTCAGAGAATCATGCCACATATTGTATGTATACATATATGTGTATATCATATACAATATATAGCATATAGTGAACAATATAACATATGTGCCACACAGAATTGTATGTAACATATATATCTGTTATATCAATAAATTAAAAAAGTCGGTGAGGAAATTAAATGATTCCTTCTCTCAGAGACCACATGAAAATTCACAGCAGGCAGGAGTTGGCCTATGGGCATTTACATTATTTTGTGTGTGCACGCATGTGCGCGTGTCTCTCTCTCTCTCTCTCTCTCTCTCTCTCTCTCTCTCTCACACACACACACACACACACACACACACACACACACACCCTCCCTGGGATCCAGAGAAGAAGCTTATACTGTCCTAACTGCAATTGCTCTAGAATTGGGAAGAGTGAGGTTACTTATCAATTTGTGACTGTAATGGGTCTACCCTGAAAGCTGTGTCATTTATCTCTTTTTAAATTTTCATTTATTTGTTTATTTTGTTTTTGTTCATGTGGATGTTTTTGCATGCACGAATGTCTGTGCATTCCATGCGTACAGTGTGTGAGCCAGAGGCAGTCATCCAATCCTCTGCAACTGGAGTTAACAGTTGTGAGCTGCCATTTGGGTGCTGGGAATAGAACCCCAATTCCTCTGGAGCCTGGGTCCCCTGGAAAAGCAGTCAGTATTTTTAACCACTGAGCCATGGCTTCAGGCTCTCTGTAATTTCTTAATCAGCACAAATTATGCACCTGTGGTTATGTCCAATTGTCAAGTTTCTTTCTCTCAAATTAGTAGAAGGGGGAGTGTTCTAGCTGAGAAGTGAAACAAAAACGTCATAGAAAGAAATATGGCCTTTTCTCCCTACTCTCTCTTCCACTTTTCCACACAGAGCCACATGAACAACACTTAGCTCTTTCAAGTTTCCCCACTTACTAGATTCTGTATCCTCTGCCTGGAATGCCCCATGCCCAACCATGTTATTCCATTACCCAGTAATCTACCAGGCTGAAACTCTCCAGCCCTCTTTACCTCGAGGTATGGAGCTCCTCTAGGCTTCCACACCAGGGCAGCATGTCCTCAGATACTATTCTACATCTTACTATGGAGCTGCTAACATATGCTAAAGAAAAATTGCCTTGGTTATGTATATGGAAATGTGATATACTGTTTCTTCCCTATGAGGAGTGAAGAGGAATTTTTTTTTTTTTTTACTGAGCTATAGAAGAACATGATATCACATGCTGGAGAAAAATATAAATCATCTTTTTTATTCTCTTAATACAAAGAGACATTACTGGATCAGGGTAGATCTCAGTGGTAGAACCCTTGCTCAGCATGGGAAAGTCTGGGGATTTGATCCACAACACCAAATCAAATGAGAAAAGGAAAGGTATGGGGATGGGTTATAGCTCAGAGATACACCATTTGCCTGATAGGTGCTGGAGCTTGGCTTTGAACCCAGTGCTATCCCAAAACAAACAAACAAAAAGGAAAGGAAGAGAAGGAAAGGGAAATGTACTCTTAAAGATATTTTAAGATGTGATGAATTCACTATGGATTACCCAACCACTCTGCAGGGAGGAATAGAGCATTTCTTCTGTGGCAGTTAATGATTAATGCTGATTATTTCCACGCTACAGATTACATCTTAGCATTTAAAATCACGTAATTTATTGTGACTAAGTTTATTTAAACTCATTTTTATACTCTATTTCTATGCCTAACTCTGTATTCTTTCTTCATGATGGATACTGCCAAATTACCGATATCCAGGCCTGAAAGGAAGAATTATCAATTACATTTCAAGTCCTATATCAATTTTTACAAAAGATTTTGGTTTTAGTTAGGTACATGAGTGTATGTGTTGGGGTGGATGTGCCTACACACAAGAGCACAGTGCCTGAGGAAGCCAGAGGCTTCAGGTCCCCCTGGAGCTGTAGTTACAGGCATCTGTGAGCCAGACAGTGTGGGTGCTGGAACTAAATGCAGGTCCCCTAAAAAAACAGTATGTTTCCTTAACTGCTGAGACTAATCTTCAGCCTCCAGGTATTTTGGCTAGTGATGGTGACTAGAATCCACTATTTTGCATTTTAATTAAAAATGCATCTATATACTAGTGACCTAACTTATATTTTTAAAGCTTGAGTTTCAAAAATTTGAAGGCTCTGTGTACCTGGGTGGCTGTATCTAGTTACCTTACCAGTTGAGTTATACTAAAGTAAGGTTTCAGTAAATTGAATTTTATGAGACCTTTTTACTTGGGCCTTTGTCACCAGACTGTCTTCTTTCTTCGTAGTGTACATGTTTACTCATGAGCTACATGTCCGTGTGTGCAGGTGCAGAGACTAGTGACCTCCTGTGGAGATGGGGGGAGGGCATCAGGTGAAACAGGCCTCTCACATAACCTGGAGCTAGGCTGGTGACCAACAAGCCCAGCCATTCTCCTGTCTCTCAGCCTCTACAATGCTAGGATTACGGGAAGGCATGACCATGCCCAAGTTTGTATGTGTAAGTTGGGGATTTGAACTCAGGTCTTCATGCATGCAGAGCAAGTACTGTGAATCTCCTCAGTGTTGCTTATCTTATTCTTAATGAGAATTTAGACTCAGTAAGTAATTATTACATCATTGTTCAAATTCTGAAAAGAACTCACGAATAGGACTTTGCCCCATATACAAGTGTGGTGCATAAGGAGATGAATTCAGTCTCAGCAAAGCGTCCTGGGCAGTCAACTCACTCTGTTGAAGGAGCACAGAACTAATGGAGCAGAGAAAGAGGGGGTGCACAGAGTGGTTCCTCATGTGAAATTAAAGGACTTTTATTGCTGGCTGGCAATTCCAGTAAAAAATTCTTCTGCATTAACAATTCTGATACACTGTATAATTCTAATTTTTATTTTTGGGGGCATTATAATTTCTATATGGTCACTAAATATAATTCTTTTAACTTTGTAGTGTAACCTTCAGTGTGTTTGGGAAAGCTGATGTCATCAGGAGCTTCCATTAGGAATGGAAGTCCAAATCCTTTAGCCAGCCAAGCAGTTAAAAGCCTATAGAGTAACTGTATCATTTTGTTCCAACTGAACAGAACCATAGTGTAGGTTTATCTTCTAAGTATCATATTTTGGAGATGATGTAAACTAAAAAAAAAGTGTCTGTAAAAGAAATTCTGTAGGCAGTAATGACAGTGTAACTGTCACCTTCCCATCCCACCAGCCAGCACAGCTCTGCACATATAGTATGTGGTTGGCCTCTGCAGAGACTTCTCATAGTCAGAGTTGCAGGCTATGGGGGCAATAAGAAAGACAGAAGGCAGAGAACAGAGAGTTTATTCTTATGTACAAACTGGAAGGTGTGGGTATTCCAAACCCATGATGTTTAATCTGAACTTAAATAAGATGACAATGGAAACTCAAGTCAATATTCTTGGAAAGAATTTTTGACAGGAAAAAAAATTTAGACAACCACCATACTAGCATTTTTAGTAGATGTAATCAGACATCTGAACTCCATCTGTCTAGAATGATAGGAAACTAATTCTCATTCCCCAAGTGAGATTGTTTTTATGCTGTAACTCGGGATTCTGTGCAGTCCTTTTAGCAGAATACACCCTTCTGTGTGCATTTAAGTTAAGTCATGTGGCATGCATTGTGAGAAAGCATTGCTACTAGTGTGTGACTTCAATTCAAAACAGTGCTGGTCACAACCGTGATGACAACTGGAGCAGCTGCCCAGAAGTGGGTCTTTTATTCTGAGGGATTCTGGCATAAGTTAAAGATCCCATGGTTTGCTTGCCCTAGATGGAAGTAAATGCAGCGTTTGAAGAAATGACATGGCATGGTAAGCCAGGAAACACAAATGTGTTCAAGGTGGAGACAGTCAAAATGATAGGGAATGGTCATGAAGTAGAGAGTGCTGTCTGCACACCTTGGTCTCCTGCAGGCAGGAACCAGGTAGGTCAGAGGTCTTCATGTGCAGGAACGAGAACTCAATACTAGTTCTTTGTCATTAATGTGACTTTTTTGCCATCCTGTTCCAAATGACTTGTTCTTCCAAACGTCAGCACAAGCATTTGACTAGCTGTTTGCCTGTGCTATGGGTAGGTGCCATGCGTGGCAGTTCAGATAGGGTGCAAGGCTGAGCTCATTGGATAATGGATGCCTTGAGAAACAGTATGACTAGTAAGCTCAGGGAGGGAACTCTCTTGTCTGCTAGGAAGTCCAAAGAAGGCTCCCTGGAGCATATGACATTGACCCAGGATTACAGAGGCTAATTATGAGTTAGAGCTAAAGAGCAAATAGGACAGTGTTGTAGGTAGTGGGGCAATGTGAGCACTTCTGTTTGGCAGGCAATGACTGGCTCAGCAACCCTGTGCGTAGATGCCCTGAACCATCTCGGTAGCTCACGCCTGGGCAGAATCTTTGGGGCTTATGTTCAAAGCAGTTGTGGTTTTTAAAAGTTTCTCAGATGATGCTGGTTCAGAGCACACTGAGAACCAGCAGCAACAGAAAGGACAGCCCATTAGAGATATGAGGTATAGCAGTGAAGGGAGCTGGAAGAGACCCACAGAGGTTTCCTATGTCAAGCCAAGGACTTTCTCACTTGTAACCTGTGAGTGTAAGGGGACCACCGAGGCCTGCTGCTTGACTGATTTCCATTGTTTTCAGAGCCAGGGTAGCTGCCCACGTTTAGAGTCCTATCGGGGCAATAGAAAAATTGGGGTGCCAAGTGTGGGTCTAGGTGTGCCTCAGCTTTGGTTGATGATTGAGAGTGCTGTTATTCGTTTCGTCTCCCCTGAGGTGGGGGCATTTTAATCTCTGATTTGGGTTTCTAAACAGAATTATTGAAGGTTTCATTATGATTCTTCTCTCTTCAGGGGAGTTGGCTGCATCTTCGTTGAGATGATCCAAGGAGTTGCTGCCTTTCCAGGAATGAAAGACATTCAGGATCAACTTGAACGAATATTTCTGGTAAGTTCTATACAAAGTGCTTCTCAGAAAAATGTGTTTCTAATTAGTTACTTAATGACTTAATGATCTGCCTGAAATATTTTAAAACATGTTTGTCCATGTTGTCACATTTAATTCTAACTTTTTTTTTCCTTTAAGAAATAGGGAATCATTGACAAATGAATGTGTCTTTAAATTATCATGTATGAATAAATGATAAAACAGTAAAAAGGGGTGAGTTAAGAGAAGTAGACTAATGAGCTGTAATTAATGTGCAGGCATAATGGTTCCAAATAAAGTATGTAGAGATCCAGCAACTGCCAAGAAGATGGAGCTCGTTGTAGACCCTCCATGATTGCACACTAGGCTTTGATTGCTAACTGGTGTCTGTAACATTGAACGTGGAGAATGGTGGGTGCAGCAAGCATGGTGACCTTGCAGAGGAAACAACCAGGCAAAACTCGCCTCAGCCAGGTCTTTAAGACTGTTGTCATGTATGAGAAGTCACACAGCAGCATGTTCCCTTGAGGTGATTTGAGGAAAATGGAGCTTCACTTCTGTCATCTTCCTCAAACCATAAGTCCACTCTGTGAAGCCAAATGCAACACATTGTACACAGTTCCCTACTCATACTCTTCAAAGCTTGTCATTGTCATCAAAAACAAGGGAAATCTGAAAAACTATCCTAATCCAGGGAAAGCTAGGAGGATGTGACAGCTCAGAGTAATGTGATCTCATGGATGGCTCCTTGGATCAGCAGAACACAATAGAGAAAAACCAGTGAAATCTGAATGAAGGATGGGTTTAGTTAACACCCATGTACCAATGTGGATTCTTTAATTATTTTTTTTGCTTAAATTAAAACCAATCTCATTTTACATACCAATCCGAGTTCCCTCTCCCTCTGTCCTCATACCCCCCCCCCCCAGCATGTCCCCATCCACCCCTCAGAGAGGGTGAGGCCTCCTATGGGGGATCATCAATGTATGTCACATCATTTGGGGCAGGACCTAGGCCCTCCCCTATCTATCTAGGCTGAGAGAGTATCCCTCCATAGAGAATGGACTCCAAAAGCCCATCCCTGCACTACAGATAAAAAAATACTGGTTCCACTGCCAACATCCCCATAGACTGTCCAAGCCCCCCAACTGACACTCTTATTCAGGAACCTGTTTCAGTCTTATGCTGGTTACCCAGCTGTCAGTCTAGAGACTGTGAGCTCCTACTTGCTCAGCTCAGCCGTTTCTGTGGGTTTCTCCAGGATGGTTTTGACCCGTTTGCTCATCAGTCCTACCTCTCTACAACTGGATTCCAGAGTTCCACTCAGTGCTTAGCTGAGGATCTCTGGCTTATGCTTCCATCAGCTACTGGTTGAAGGCTCTATATTGGCATTTAAGGTAGTCATCAATCTCATTATAGGTGGAAGTTCATTTAACGTAGCCTCTCCACTGTTGTTTAGATTCTTAGTTGGGGTCATACTTGTGGATTCCTGGGAATTTCCCAAGTGCCAGATTTCTCATTAAGTCCATAATGGCTCCCTCTATCAAGGTTATCTCTTTCTTTGCTCTCCTTCTTTGTCCTTCCCCCAACTTGATCTTCCTGATCCCTCATGTCCTTCTCCCCTCCTCTTTCTCATACTCCCCCTTGCTCCCAATTTACTCAAGAGATTTTGTCCCTTTCTCCTTCTCCAGGGACCATGTATGTCTCTCTTAGGGTCCTTCTTGTTTCCTGGCTTCTCTGGGGTTGTGGATTATAGGCTGGTTATCCTTTTTTCTATGTCTAATATCCATATATGAGTGAGTACATACCATGTTTGTCTTTTTGTGACTGGGTTACCTCACTCAGGATAGTTTCTTCTAGTTCCAACCATTTGCCTGTGAATTTCAAGATGTCATTGTTTTTTGCTGCTGAGTTGTGTAAATGTACCACATTTTCTTAATCCATTCTTTGGTTGAGGGGCATCTAGGTTGCTTCCAGATTCTGGCTATTACAAATAATCCTGCTAGGAACATAGTTGAACAGATGTCTTTGTGGTATGAGTGTGCATCCTTCAGGTATATGCTTAAGAGTGGTATTGCAGGGTCTTGAGGTACATCGATTCCCATTTTCCTGAGAAACTTCCATACTGATTTACAAAGTTTCTGTACAAGTTTTGATTTTCACCAGCAGTGGAGGAGTCTCCCCCTTTCTCCACATCCTCTCCAGCATAAGCTGTCATTGGTGTTTTTGATTCTAGCTACTCTGACAGGTGTAAGATGGTATCTTAGAGTTGTTTTGATTTGTCAATGTGAATTTTTATTTGTTGCAAATGTACTGAATAAAGCTTGAACAAGAGAAGCTGATTGAAGGGTGTACAAGAATTCTCACTAATATTTTTGCAATATTTATATAATTTTGAATTTCTTGTAAAAAACTAAAGGCATATCTTGAGTTTTGGCAAAGCTGTTGTGTTGAGGCAGCTTGTCTGTGTCTGTTCTGCTCTGTCTTGTTTATCTTGGTGGCTTTGTACAAGGCCTTACTTTCTGAAATTGTTCCTTCATAGATGAGAGAGGAATGTGAACAGCTCCCTTCTCAAAGGTGACTTTGAGCAATCATTGACTTAGGAATAAGAAGTGCTTCATAGGGCTGGAGACATGGATCAGAGGTTAAGAGCATCTGCTGCTCTTCCAGATGTCCTAAGTTCAGTTTCCAGCAACCACATGGACGTTCACAACCACCTATAAAGAGATCTGGTGCCCTCTTCTGGCCCGCAGGGATACATGCAGTCATAGGACTGTATACATGACAAATAAATAAAAAAATATTAAAAAAACAAGTGCTTCTTAAATGGCTAGCACATAGTAAACACAGGGTTTATTTTTTGCATTGCATCATTTTCATGTCAAGTACTTTCATTCAGTGGGATTTTTATATTAGTCAGTAGTCATAAATATATTATTTAAAGCCCAGAGTAATATCTAGATAAATTAAAAGTTTTATTTAAAGGATTTAAACTAAACACATTGTGATGGCTCACATTCCCATATTTCTCCTTATTTACAAAACTCCCCTGTGGAACAAACCACTGAGGTGGATTTGGGTGTAAACCATGTCACAAGATGTGCTGACTATCATTCATTCTAGAGATGCAAGCTCTCCTCTTCTGTAGAAGAATGGCAAGAGGATGCTGCACATATATTGAGACTCTGTCACCACTGTGTTTCCCTCAATGTCAGCTAAGAAAACGATGAGAAAAGAGCATGGACCCTAGAGAACTGTAGCACAAGTGATTCCTTCATGCAGTGTCCCCTATGGCATAGCTGCTGTGTGATGACAGATGGAGCATAGGAAAGTCTCTGGCAGAGGCTGTCTACAGAGTTGTAGTGTTGAATTTTCTCTTTCTCCTAGAGGTTATCTTTATCGGTTTCTTTCAGTTTTATTAGACATTATGTCTACAATGCTGAAATGAACACTCATGAATTATTATGGTGGAAAATTCCCTATAATGTTCAAAAGCATAGTAGTTGAGATGTTACCTTGCAGGCCTCCATGCTACTACTCACACAAAAATCACATTTAGTGTTTTGATGCATCCATGTTATTGAATTTTTATATGTACTTTAAAATTTTTTATATTTTTTATTTAAATTAGAAACAAGCTTGTGTTACATGTCAATCCCAGTTCCCTCTCCCTCCACTGCCCCCCACTACTCCCCTATCCCATCCCCTTTCTGCTCCCCAGAGAGGGTGAGGCCTTCTGAGGGAGATTTTCAAAGTCTGTCATATCATTTTGAGCAGGGCCTAGGCCCTCTCCCATGTGTGTAGGCTGAGAGAGTATCCCTCAATTTAAAATTTTAATCGTGTTTTGTCTACCATTTTGTAGTTCCCATTTTCATTTCATTATATGTAACAAACACTTTTCCTTGGAGAAAGTTTTGAAACATACCATCATTTTTAATGACAGAATGTTTCACTGTATGGATGAGATATTATTTACATATCTGACCCATTATTTTTAAAAAGCTACTAGAAGCCACATTGTATTCCTACTAAGACTAATTATTAGAATTGGAAAGCATCCTTAATATAATAAAGTCAATTTTCATAAATTTGTTGACTATTCTATATATCCATTGCTTCATCTACACACACAAAGCTCCTAATCCCCTTTTACTCAATAAAATATAAAATTTTCTTCTATTTTTTATTTAAATTAGAAACAAGCTTGTTTTGTCAATCCCAGTTCCCTCCCCCTCCCCGCCCCCCACTAGCTCCCTATCCCAATAAAATCTCTTACGTTTTTCATTGAACCGGACAGGGGTCTGTAGATTATTTGAGAAACAAATAATACAATATTGAGCTAATTCTATTAAGAATAAATTATTCATATATGAATGAGTCACAATATGTGAATAATTGGTTTTGTTTTGTTTAATTTACTTAATTTTTTAGGCTAATTTTATGTGTAACAATGTTCTGCTTCCTGATGCCCACAGAGGTCAGAAGAGAGTGTTGGGTTCCTTGGAACTGGAATTCTGGACAGTTGTAAACTGCTCTGCAGTTGCTGGGAAACAAACCCAAATCCTCTAAAAGAGCACCATATTTTAATCACCATCTCTCCAGCCCAGCAAGTTTAGTTGTTGTTACTACTTTGGCTTTCCTGCAATCTAGCATAGCCTCCTACTGTTTATGTAGATGAGGGTGACCTTGACCGTCTCATCTTCCTGCCCCATCTCTCAAGTGATACATGTGGACCATCAGGGCTAGTTTTACATAGCACTGGGGTTAAATCTAGGATTTTGTGTGTTAGACAATTGCTCTACCAACTGAGTAATGCATTCAGCTTCACACATGTTATCCTTACAAACATATTTTTCTTTCCTTTTGTCTATAATCTTCATTTTCTTGGAATTGTTTTACACAGTTTATCCACAAAAATTCTTTTTTCTTTTTTTTCCGTTTGTCTGTTGGTAAATATGATGTGTGTAAGCATGTTCACATGTGTGAGGGTGCCTGCGTGTGCATGCTTATGCACGGATGGG